GATATTTGTAGATAATATGTGATATTTGTCTCTAACTTGTGATACTTGTCATTTACATGTGACATATAATTGTGATAGTTTTAATCTGTGATAAGTAATATAAAATGAGTTGACTTCATTGATTGAATGTTGCTTTTTTAAAGCTATGGTATTATGAGATTACAAACATCAAAGAATATACCATAGTCAACGATTTGAAGCCACCAATGACTAATTGGACTCTGGAAGGTAAGAAAGTGGGTTCATTGCAAAGCATAATAATTATGAAGAAGTCAGAAGCCGTAATCCGCATCTTACCAAAGCAAGATATGCCGCGGTACGTTCATGAGGAGATCAAGCAAGAGCCTACAACAAGAAGGCTAAAAGAGAGGATAAATTAGACTCCAAAAACTCTTTAAGAAAAAAAAGAGTTAAAAAAGAGGAAGGAAGTCAATCGACTATTGTATTTGTGAGACAAATTTAATTCTTATTATGTGATGTTTACATTTTGACAGTGATAATAATTGTTATTCTGTGACCTTAACCTATTTTCTGTGACATTTACATGTAGACCGTGATACATTGTTATCTGTGCTAATTGGTTATCCCCTGTGATATTTGCCAGTTGGTTGTGATAAATGTAGTGTTTATGTGATATTTATGGTGGAATGAAGTTTCTTATATGTAACATTTATATGTGACCTTCTTATATGTGACATTTGCTCACTGAAATTTAATTATTAATGTAGACTGAAGCTTATGAGAAGTTGTCAATGTTGAATGAAGCCTGTGAGCAAGAACTTGTCTCACTCGGCATTGATACGAAATCCATTACGGCCGATATTGAAAAAAACTTTGCGCAATAGAAACATCGTGATGAAAAAAAGGATAAGAGAAAAGATGAGAGTAGAGGAGAGGAGGTAAGAAATTTTCTCCTAATTTATGTGCTCGTTCATTCTCTGTAAAATTTTATTTTAGTTTTGACATTTATGCAGCCCGAGGTAGAGTTAGAAAGAAAAGATGAGCCAGAGAAAGAAGATGTTCAAGGAAAAGAAATGGAAGAAAATAACGATGACAGAGTAGACATGGACATTAAAGTTGAGGAAATAGCAGTTACTAATTTCATGTGAGAAGTGCATGTTTCTTGTAATATTTACATATGTCATGTGATTCTTCTTTATTATTTGTGACAGTCGACTCTTTATTGTGACATTTGCTCATCTCCTGTGATAGTTACTTTATGTCTATGACTTAAACAATATTACTGTGACATTTGCTCATTATTTGTGATACATGAATTTCGCATGTGATATTTGTTCATACCCTATGACCTTTAAGAATTTTTCTGTGACATACACTCATTGACTGTGATCTTTATACAGTATGTAGATGTGAAAGTAACTGAGGAAGTTACTGAAAAGAAAAAGAGAAGGAAAAAAAGGAAGAAGGAAACAGATGAAACATTAAAATAATTTGTTCATGGTCTACAAGTAAAGAGCTAGAGAACAACAAAGACGCCCAAGTTCTTAAAATCTCCATTCCAAACAATTATCTCTAAGAAAAAAAGTAAAGGGAAGAAAACTTTCGTCGTGGTGGAAGATGACGATGACAAGAGGGAGATGGAAGAGGAGAAAGAACTTGCAATTGCATATGCCGAGAACATCTATAGAAGACTTATGGAGAAGGGAAAACATGGAGATTAAAAAAAATTATTGGAGATGTTGAATATGTGCATTCCTTTTTCGCAAGACTTTGATATCAGGATCCCGGGAGTTGCCGAAGATGGGTTTCATCATAATTTCACTATTTAGGATGTACCTGATTTAACTGATGATGAGAACAAGTGGCTTTAACAATTTCTGACATTAAAATGGACAAGTATCAAGTAGTTATTAATGGATTTCATGTGAGATATTTACATGTAGTCTGTGATAGTTAGTTGTTTCTTGTGACATATACTCATATCCTGTGATATTTACATGTACTCTGTGATAGTTAGTGATTTCATGTGGCTTTTACCTGTTTCCTGTGATATTTACATGAATTGTGTGATAATTAGTGATTTTGTGACTTGTAACCGTTTCATGTGATATTTACATATTATCTAGAAAGAGGATTGTTTATGAGGTTAACAACCACATTATAAACAGATATGATATATTTCATCCGCTACGTGGTGGAAGATTAAAGGACGATGTTAGATTTTATTTAACTTGTGGTGTTATTCAAGTTTTCTACTTTTACATTGATTCATTACATTTGCAATCGTTAAACCATTGAAGCATTGGTTGTAAGACTTCAGAAATGGCTCAAGCTACCGAAAAATGCTAATCTGAAAAGAAAATTTGTAACAATCACATCATATTTTAGTGTGAGTAATATCGATTATAAAGATTTTACAAGTAATGTTGCATTTATATGTTATTTGACTTACTTTCTCTTTTTTCTTATTTTTTAAAGATTTGGTTGCTAACTGCATCAAATGTGGATGAGAAAAATATATATAAAAAGTATATAAAGAAGCACATAGATGATGGGAAAGAAGTTCTTCAATTTCGATATGTCACACTGATCACTGGCATGTCCTTGAGGTCAATTTGGGGCAAAAAATACACATTACAGTTCCGCGACATAAGCTAGAGACATTGTGATAATTCAGCTATTTTTAGATAGAATGGTAAGAAGATTCGACTAGACGTCGATATTCAGAGCATTCGAATATGAAGTAGTTCATTGTCGAAAGCAAAAATGCTCGTAAGTTTCTCCAAACAGCTTATACTTACCATTTATTAGTTGCTGTGATACTTATTATTTATCCATGATGCATAATTATTCTTGGTGACATATGCTGGTGTTATGTGATATGTATATTTCCGATGTGATATATGCTTTGTCGGTGACATATGCGTGTCTCATGTGTCATTTATACATTATGTGTGACATATGCTCATTACCGGTGATACATACTGGTGTTATGGTACGTTTATACATTCTGTGTGACTTACACTAATTATTTGTGACAGTTTGTTATTTTTTGTGATGCCTAGATATTATCTATGGTTTTTTTGTATCACCTGTGGCTTTTACACATTCAATGTGATACATAATCTTGTTTATTGCTGTATATAACTGTTACTTCACCTCTTTTCTATTTAGGTATGATTGTGGCATACACGCATATTTATACATCAAAGCGATCCTAGAAGGAAAAGTGGTCATGGACATTGAATCTTTATAAAGAGAGTCTGAAATGTTAAGGGCAGGACTTGCTGCTCAAATTATATGTGAAGGCCGAGAATTAAAGAAGCTGGGACTGAAGTTAGATGCAGATGATCCAGAATATCTTTTGTATTTTGAGGGTAATGATGTACCATTAATTGAGTGTAAATATTAGACAAACACGTATAACACAATTCTATATATGTCTAATTTCTTTGTAAATTTTGAGACTTGTGGTGACAGTAATGAAATGTGCATTTGTGATTACTCCATGAACTGTTCTTTAGCAAATTATATGAAATCTGAAAGTATAAAGCTTACAGGTGTCACAATTAATACCAATAAGTCACACGAACATGTCTCAAAAGAGTCCCAAAAGGGTTTGAATTCTGTCGGGAAACGTTAGTCTTGGATAGATTAAGTGCATGTGGCTCGGTTATGTCCTTCAGCGTCGCACCTTGAGCATTTAACTGGATGTCTATTCATAGATCGGTTGTTGATACGTCTATTCTTATTTCTTCTACGTCTCTTTGTCGTCTTTAGGGGAAGTATGTCAATTGTTTTATCTGTGACATCTGGCTTATCGTAATTTGGAATAGGAAAGATTTGGTTCGTAACTTTTCTTGAAAGCTAGAGTCGTCATGAACTAATCAAAATAGTAGTACACATCTCTATCCATAAAGTTAATATCAGCACACGGATGTTTACATCATATTCGCAATACATCCCATGCACGACACGTTTATGTTTTATGCTCCGAATCAACTTCTACTGATTTTTGAGATGATAACTCAACGATTTCAGTTGTCGAATGTGACACTTCAAGAGTGCTTCCCTTCATGCAATTTTCTTGTAGAATTTTTTTCGCTTCAAGATATAGATAGCTATTCTATTTTGTTGCCATCTCGCGACGAGTATCCATCCTTTTTATAATTTGCATACGAATGTGATCCATCATATCGCAAATAGGAAGTATTTTGTTGGTCTTCACATTCGGGCACTGTGGGGGATCAAGTCAAAATAGAAAAACTGTTAAAAGATTCAGCAACATTGAAAGTGATATGATTATATCTGCAAATAAATATCATATATATCAAATAAAATTTCTCTATTACAAAGTACAACAATGTGTCACACAGTGTTTTCAATACGCGATGCGCAATGCGGGGCGTAAAGTCAGTTTACGCGTACATGCGCAAGGCGTAATGTGATGCGCGCGCCCGAACGAAGCGAGGTGCACTCCAGATCACAAAATTTTTGAAGATATACAAGATGCATGAAAAAATAAATATTTATGAAATTTCACATAAAAATGTCAATGACTCAAGATAAAATATATACTACCGGATAACAAGATAACGTTTTAATCATTGAAGTAAATCAAGATGTTCATCAAAACAAAAAAACTAAGCAACTAAACCACTTCCAAAGTTCACTAACATCAAAGCTAAACAAGCAATCTAATTAAACAAAGCAAATAAGTAGCAAAATAATAGCCTAATGATTCTAATCATCCTCATTAACATCATCATCATCATCCCTTCTAAGGTTATATCCTCATCTTCATTCTCCTCCTCATCGTTATTAAACTCCTCTTCATCTTCTGACTCAGAAATTGGCTCCCTCCTCGACGAAGAACCAATACCACTCGAAGATCCTCGAAACCTATTAGTCGATCTCAAATACATATAATCATCTTCTTCAGCTCCCTTCGTATCTCCTATGACACCATATGTAAGGTTGTCCTCGCCCTCCACCAAGTCATTCTCTGCATTTTCACCTTCACTGAACTGCCCTAACAATCATTCATTGCTTTCATCTATATCAGCCAACTTAATCGGATCAATAGAATCTCTGCAGTCATATCTCTCCTTCAAAGCTTGGTTGTACTTGCAGTAAACTAGATCTTGCATCCTCTTATGATCCAACTTAATCCTCTTCTTGGTGTGTATCTGTAATTTATACAAATCAATCAAATCAATATCCATATCTCTAAGAGAATTAAATCTATTTTGTTCAATAAAATAAAACTAATCATACTTGCTCAAAAGTACTCCAATTTCTTTCACAGACAGAGGAGCTACAAGTAAGGCTGATGATTCTAACAGCAAGCTTCTGCAACTCTGGTGCTGATACACCATAAGACTCCCACCAATCAGCTGTCAATTTAAATAGACTGTGATTAGTAGTGTATTTTTTATAAGAAATCTAGTCAATTAAGGGTTTATATTATGCATATTTACCTGGAGACTTCTTCTTTCTGTTTCTTATAAGAAATCTAGTCAATTAAGGGTTTATATTATGCATATTTACCTGGAGACTTCTTCTTTCTGTTTCTCTTAGCTATCTCCATACCAAAAAAGTTTATATTATGCATATTTACCTGGAGACTTCTTCTTTCTGTTTCTCTTAGCTATCTCCATACCAAAAATACCCCCAGCATGCCTGTATATATCCAACTGCCTATCAACCTTGTCTTGGTCTTGTGTGGGCACCATCTTCTCAGTGACTTGATAAAGACCTCTCATAACTTTGTCATCCCCTTGGATGTTTGGATGGTCATAGAAAAATGCAGGATTAAGGTAATATCCTGCAACATACAAAGGCCGATAAAGCTGATCCTGCCACCTCTTATCAATGATATCAAATACTTCAGAATATTTTGTTGAATCATCACCAAAGGCTTTAGCAATAGCCTCCTTACCTCTATCCATTGCCTCATAAATGTATCCCATAGCAGGCTTTTTATCACCATCAACAAGTTTCAGAATACCAACAAGAGGAGCCGTCAGCTTGAGAATACGAACGATGTTATTCCAGAAAGATGACATATGAACTATCCTTTCAGCTGATTTGCCCTTTGAATCTCTTGCCCACTTACTTTACCTCTATGACTCCAAATTAAACATCTTTCTGAGGTTATTTTTCTGTCGATAGATGTTTGACAAAGTCATAAATGATGTGACAAATCGTGTCACCGCCAGTCTAAGAAGATCTCTGTCGTTAGTTTAACCTCTCATCAGCTTCAAAACCCACGCATGTGAGTAGATGAATCCAGTCAACTCCATAGCTCGACTCAAGGTTAGATTCATAGATGGTAGTTTACCAATATCCTTGAGCATGAGATTAATGCAATGAGCAGCACAAGGAGTCCAATATAAACGAGAATACTCTTTTTCCAATTCCGCTCCTATAAATAAAAGAATAAAAAAGATCAATATCAGAGCATCCTAACATAGCATTAGCAAAGAATTCATAACCAAAATAAAATTAATTGCTTAAAATTTACCTGCATATTTAAGACTAGAATGGTTATCCGTGACGATCTGAACAACATTCTGAGGTCCTATGAGCTTAATCTGCTCACTAAGTATCTCAAACATTCTGTCACCCGTCTTGATCTCATCAGAAGCATCAATAGATGAAAGAAACACCGTACCATGAGGAGAGTTTGTAAGAAAGTTGATCAATGTCTTCCCTTTCTGTCACTCCAACCATCTAACAAGAAAGAACAACATTTAGTAGCCCACACCTCTTTATGAGGTTGTATCAGATCATCAGTGTATTTTTTTCTCCTTCCTAAGCAAAGGCTCTCTCAAATGGTGTAATGTCGGAGGAGGCAAGTTAGGCCCAAAAGCCCCCACGGACTTTAACATGATTTTGAAAGATCTAAGACGAACGACATTAAAGGGAATGCCGGCTTGATACCACCACCGAGCTATGTCTTGATGCACTTTAGCCACTGCATCTTTGTTGAGGCTTTCTTCAATACACGATTGCCTCAACTTGCGCCTTCTTTCATCCTTGACGACCTCTAGAGCGGGATCGAACGTAAGAAATGCATCCATCGGCCCCTTCCTCTTTGGGCCTATGGAAGATCCCGCATTGTGCATGCTAACACTCCCTCTTCCTCTTGCCGTTACTGAAGATGACCTAGGAATCGCCGGGCTTTTTCCTCTATCTCTACGTTCTTGTACTTGTTCATCTTCATCCTCCTCATCATCAATTTCCACCAGTTCTTGTACTTGTTCATCTTCATCCTCCTCATCATCAATTTCCACCATGTTCTCATCTCCAAGTTCGGGGAGATATTCATCTATATGTTCTCATCTCCAAGTTCGGGGAGATATTCATCTATAGCTTGTTGTCTTTTAGCTATCTTTTGTCTTTTTGTCTTTTTTCATAATCTTTTAGCTCTTCAACCACATTGGGAGGGACTTTTTGACAAAGACTCACATTTTTGCGTTTCCTATCCGTCCCGATTAGATGCTCTTTTTGTCGGGATATGCCGCCATTTGTGATCTTGTTACAAAATATGCACTTATGTCTATTGGCATTCCCTTCATCAACCAATGAAGTATATTTACATATAGGATCTTATCTTCTTCCACCACTCGTCGATGAAGACATATCTACATCAAAACAGTGAAACACATAGATTTAGACTTGGTGAATTAAAGTGTTAAACACTTTAACAGTTTAACTTGTACGTTAATTTTCATTCAAGCTTGCAAATTAGTTTGCGAAATTTTATTTTCCTCTTTACAGGTTACAAATGGCGAATCAAGTTTCAAGTTTCAACTTTTAACTTAACTTGTAGCACTACAACTAGCTCAAATAGCAAGAATCAATACTCGCAGTCTCGCACAAGAAATCAAATAGTAGCACATTTTTAACAATTTTGACTGATATGTAATACATATTAATAAGAAGCAAATAATACTAGCAATGTTCATATTTTGATGAATCTACAATCTGCACATTTCAACAGTCATACATATGCATATTTAATTTAAGATAAGATAAATCTCCCCTTAAATCTCTCTTTGTAAAATTGAAAATCATTAGCCTATAATTAATCAAGTGATCAAACAATAAGTAATCATAGCCTATTATTAATCAAAATAGTCCACAAATCACTTTAATAATTACCTAATGTCAATTAAAAATCAGTTTACTGGCTTACTATCTCAATCATTAACAGTCAGTCGTTCACCTAAGAAGAAGAAAAAAAAGAAAAAAAAGACGAGAGAACAGATGAAAAACACAGCAAAAAAGAGAAAATGAAAATTGGAAAAAAGTAAAAAACAGAGAAAGGGAAACAAAAACAGAGAAAGGGAAACAAAAGAAAAGATGAAAAACAGAGAAAGGGATGACAAAACAGTCCCCAGAAGACAGCTCAGAAAAATAGCCGTTAGTGTCTAACGGATCTATTGTCGGTCAACCGACAGATCGTTCGGTCGACCGAAAAAGGAATTCGGTCGACCGACGGAAAATCCGGTCGACCGCGAGCAGGTTTGAAAAGGGAAACAAAAGAAAAGATGAAAAACAGAGAAAGGGAAACAAAAACAGAGAAAGTGAAAAGAGCAGCAACAGCAAAAAATTAAAAAAAGAGACTGACTGTTCTCGTTGTGAGAACAGATGAAAAATTGAAAATAAATGAAAGAAAAGAAAATAAAAGATGAAAGAACGATGTGAGAACAGATGAAAAACAGAAAAACGTGAAAAAACAGAAAGGGAAGCAAAAAATAAATGAAAGAAAAGTGAGTACAGAAAAATCACCTTTGTTCCCCGAGCTCGCGGGTTCTCATCGTCACCGAGCTCGACGTTTCCTATTCGTTACGGGTTCTCGTCGTCACCGAGCTCGTCGTCCCCTGTTCGTCACTGATTCTCGTCGTCACCGAGCTTGCCGTTCCCTGTTCGTCGCCACCGAACATGAAGAGAAAGGGAGAGACAACGAAGTGAAGAACCCTAATTCTTTGCTCCTATAACAGGTTAGATTTGTTTTGGCTTTTTTGGGTTTAAGTTTGAGTCGGGTTTCTACCCGATAGCCGCATTTAATGAAGCCAATCGCCTTGAAAATCTGAGGCGATCGCCTTCCCAGCGCACGCGAGGCGCTCGAAGGCGCTCTCAGGCGCACGCTTAGAGCAAGTGCAGCGCCACGCACCTCATGCGGGGCGCTATTCCACCGCGCCGCAGCGCCTTGCGCCCGAGGCGTGCGCCCGACACCGCCTTTGAAAACACTGGTGTCACATATAACAGAAAAATGTCACAAGTGACAGCAAAGTGTCACAAGAAACACGTAGAAGTCACAATTAAGAGATTAGTGTCACATGCCACTAGTAAAAGTCACACGTAATAGACAAAGGTCACACATAAAAGTATAATGTCACATATAACAAATCAAAGTCATAGAAAATTGCTGATATTCACATATAAGGGCTATATATGTGATATATAAGTGCTACGTATCACAAAGCAGCGCTAAGGTTCACATATAAAGTTTAAAGATCACAGTTAAATCAATAATGTCAAAATATTTGATGTACCTTGTACCAGGAAAAACTGAATTTGCCCAATTATTTGAACCATAACTGAGAGCTACTTAGTAAGCTCTATGATCCATCATCCTAATCTCATGAAAAACAGCTTTAAATTCTTTTTTTGTATATTTGTATGGAGCAAACTCTAATAATTTTGAAATCCGTTAAGCAGCACTTAAGGCAAAACCCATCTCTTTAAGTTTCAATTTGTAATTCTCAACTAGATGAAGTACACATCTAGAATGGTACACATCTAAAAATATATCTTTTAAAGATTGTTTTATCCCTTTGTCAGCATCTGACAAAATGACTAGAGGATGGGGTTGATTATATGTGGTTTTGTTTGATTATACAAAATATACAACAACCCTTGAATAAACCAACTCCAATTCGCTTCATTTTCTTGGTCAAAAACGCAAAATGTGAGTGGAAATATGCCTTGATTATCATCATAAGCAGTTGCACCTAATAAAATCACTTTGTAATGATATTTTAGAAAAGTCCCATCTAGAAAGAACAATGGCCTACATCCCTTGAGAAACCCCTATATTCATGCACTATAGGACACAAATAAAAACTTGAATTGCCTTTCTTCTTGTTTAATGATGACGATACAGCTTAGGTTTGTTTCCATCACCTTCATTTGGTATCTTCAAATGATGATTAAAAGGATAATTAACCTGTTAAATAATGAATAAATTCTAAAGGTCACATATAACATGTGAATATAAGGTCTAAACATCACATATAAGATCTAAATGTTACATATGATATCTAAATGTCACAATTAAGGTCCAAAGCTCACATTTATGACTTAAATGTCACATACAACGTCCAAACGTAGCATACTATACTTGTATGTCACATAACATTCTGAAATATCACATTTAAGCTTACTAAATCATATATAATAAGCTTACTAAATCACATATAAGTTCTAAAGGACATCTTAACAAATTAATGGACTAACCAGGGTAGTAAACCATACGAATGCCATGCGCAACCAAATATTTGGTCTTTTGATGTCTTCTTAGCACGTCAAGCTTTAGAATAATTAAATTTTAAACTATATTGAGAGTGCAATTCCTTTCTAATGTCATTTAGGGTGATATATGGACGCCTCTTCATAATTGATTGTAGCATACTCACAATCCACCTTCTCGATGCTCTAGAGTGACCAGCTGTGTTGTTATGTTGTCCACAAGTATATTGAGGAACAAATTTTTTATAGCAAAGGTCGACACATGACTCAATGGTGAAGAGTAAAGCAACCACGGGCATTTTGTTTCTTTTCTAAACATGCAATTAGCACGAATACGTTTTGGCTTATTGTTAACATATTTAAAAGAGAACTTCTTAGCTATAGAATAGTATATAAGAGTCATTCTAACTTCTTTTGCGCTTTCAAATTGCTACAATTTTCCAATAATTTCCTCATGCCACCATACTGAGATTCCTATCGAGTCACTTACTATGTCATCCATCATCCACACATGCTTTTCTTGAGGATTGTTATTTGAGATCCTCTCTGATTCTTGAATATGCTCCGATGAATGTGAGTTTACAGTAGGAAGACTGCAAATTGAATATAACATACATATAAATCACGTGTGACAATTACAAATAACCGTTAACTTGTATATATCACAAATAAAGTCGATATTTCACGTGCAATGTCTGCATGTCACATAGAAGACGTAAATATTGTAGTTCCCATTATAACATGTATACAGAACCTGAAAAGAATCTTTTGAATACTTACTTAAACTCTATTTCTGTCCCTATGATATGCATGGATCCTTCATCTCTTTTAGTAACAGTCTTGGTTATCGTATTAACCCTATTGAACGATGATAGTCTATCATATTAAGAATATCTTCATCTTTTAAAAGCTCAAACGAAACGTTGGGAAACTTCTCGAGAGCGTAACTTATCAACAAACTTTCATACGGTACTTTTAAATTCTCTGTAGCGTACATCTTCAATTCAGCTAAACTTGTTGCAAAATTGACTTTAATGAGAATTGCATTGGTGTTCAACGAAACCACACATATTAAAGATTCTTTCATTTTGGTTGTTAAAGTTAAGAGGAAAAAGTTAAGGATATTTTGGTTGTTGAAAGCCTTATGAGTAGAATCTAAAGAGGGAAGAAGATATTACATTAACATAGGACATGATTTAGAGGGAACTTTGTATGTTTCCCTTCAATTTTCAATATCTCCCAACCATTAATGTAATTCTTCTCTCTTCTCTTGAACCCAATACTCATCACTTCTTACTATATAATCTAATGAGAGTCTGCCAAATAAGACAAAAAAGTTTGACAATCCATAAAAGGGTACAAAATGGTAAACTAAGCATTATTTCAAAATACAGTATAGATACTTTATACTTTGTTGGGCTAATGGTGTTTTAGCATGAATACTTGAGTCAAAGAGCTCAAATGGGTTTGACTTTAGTTAGGGGTGGGGAGTGCATAACTTTTTACAAATTGCTTCCTCCAAGCAATTTTCCCTAGTTATTATTATGGTACACTTTCTAGAAAAAATAATAATTATAGTACATCTGTTGTGGTGTAAACATGTCCAATCTAAAGTTAATGGACCTTCAAAAGAAGACTATGGAACCATCATAAGCTTCACATTGGACTTTATTTTAAAATTTTCAGACTTTTTGAGGGTAAGTAAAAAAAAAACCCAAGTTATTGAGAGTTTTATGAAATTCACCTTTATTGCTTTGCATGACCATTGTACATCACATCATCAACATAACATTTTTCACATATTATTTCCCCCCCTAACATTTTCCACATTGTTTTTTCCCCAGTACATCACATCGCCCACTTTAACATTTTTCAAATGAGAAAGTAATACAGAAAATTCACGCAAAAGACATTACCCACGGAGTGCTTTGAGGTCTTCATTCTCCGAGGAGCTGTTTTTGATCCGTGTGGAACCGACACAGGTTTTGCTTTCAGGCGGGCCCTACAACAAAATGGGTATGGGCACTTTGCGTGTGTATGGGTATAGATGGAACTTTGCACGTAAAAGCATAAATCCCTACTTGTTTCCCTCCTGGTGTATTATGCTCATCAGGGCAATGCAATATACTGTTAGGATCTCTGTATTGCTGGAGTTGAATTATATTTACATTCAAAAGAAGTCCCCAAACCTAATGTAATCTAATCTAATATAATATATATAATAATACTATTATAAAAGTGTGTTGTCATATTAAAATATTTCTTTCCAAAATGTCCTCAAACACATGCACATATACATACATGATCACATAAATATACTCAATATAATGTGATAATTAACCCCTACTACACATCCATCCATCCATACATGAACACACATACAATTATCCATCTAAAATTCTCTATCAACATCATTAAACACCCATCACCATTGTAACCTCCACACTTATTATTCCTATGGAAAACACAAATTATTCATTTAATCATTGCCATAATATCACCACTACTTCCCTTAATGTTCCATTAATTTAAAATTAAATCGTACAACCCTTGAGCTTCTATCATCTATAACACACATTCTCCTCTCCTATATACCTACTACCTTAAACCCAAAGCTCCATTCCTACCCCTAATTCCTACCTCTAATGACTAATATCTTCAATCTTTTACCTTAATTCTTCTCTTCTATATATGCGAAACATTGACATCAGTCAAATGCCTAATAGAAAATGTTCTTACTTCTCAGGGTTACCATTACCCACATCCGTGATGCCTAATAGAAAATGTTCTTAGGGTTGTCATTACTCACATCCATGTCGCCTAATAAAAACATCCTTAAAGGTCACCATTAGCCACATCCTTGACGCCGCCAACTAAATCGCCATCCTCCACATCAACAAATCCGACATCGAGGAATAAAACATTGGATAAAACGGTTAGTAGAGCTGACGACAAATGCAATGTCAACGGAAGCGACTATGGCGGCAATTGGGGAGGAGGGGTATCCATCGTGGTTATTGATGGGGATGAGAAGGCTATTGCAGTAGGATCTGCTGCATATGAAACCTACCATTGCAATGATTCAAGATGGGAATGTGCATGCAGTTCAAAAGTATTAACAAGGGACTTGCTACGTTGCCGATGAATAATAGGAGATATTTTGCGTTGTATATGAATATACCTTTTTCCTGTTTCTCCGTATTTAATACACATAAAATGTAGTTGCATGCTAATTTGATTCATAGTATACTTAAAAATCTTTGTTTACAAAAGAATTCGATAAATGCATGACAAAAATTACTTTTGTATGTGGAAATGGTTGTATTTTGAATCATGCAGAATGAGAATTTGAATCTTACAAATGGAAGTTTATTTTGGTAATGACCTTGTACTTACTGCATATATTATCTAGAAAATATTAGATCATTCATTGCTATAATTAAGGAGTCTTCTTAATGACCAACTATAAACCCATCCGGTAGGAGAAACCACCAAATCCATAAGATCTCCATTACGGATTCATGAGAACAGATGTAGTTGCACCTACCATCTACTTCTTCTCCCTCTCCTTCTTTGTTTCATGTGAACAGAGATAGAAGACATGGTTGAAGGATACTTATAACAACCCATTTGTTCAAAACAATAATAAAAATAATGTTTTTTTTTCAATTTTACTCCTTAAAATATTTCATATTACTACAAGGCCGCTAACTTCGTACTTACTTTGAAATTAGTCTCTCAAATTAGTGAAACTCCTATTATGACACCTAATTCTTAAATTATTTTGAAATTAATCCATCCAATCAAGAGTAGATGTAGCAATTCGGGCGATTAATTTGAAATAACTTGTGAGAATTAGGGGATTTAATAGGAATTTCAATTATTTTAGCGGTTAATTTTAGAGTAAATAAAAAATGAGAAGATCTAAAATTGATTTTAATGATTTGAGGAGCGGTTAATTTTAGAGTAAATAAAAAATGAGAAGATCTAAAATTGATTTTAATGATTTGAGGAGCTTATTGCAAAACATGAAAGAGTAAATAAAAAATGAGAAGATCTAAAATTGATTTTAATGATTTGAGGAGCTTATTGCAAAACATGAAAGATTTAAGGGACTAATATATAAAACCTCTAATATACAAATAAAACAATAATATGAGCTGAGCAAAATGTAAAAAGATTAGAAAAAAAAGGAAAGACAAAGAATTCATATGTCCCGTCTAGGAAAGTGGTTTAAGATAATTAGAGTCTCTCTAATAACTACTTATTATTCATTGTATAGGATCCAAACTGTAAGTAAATACTCACGAAAATATGACACATTACTTAGAATATTATTTTTTGCTTTGAAACAAAACTATCTAAGTGCAACTCACCGTATATTATACTAGTGTTCATAAAAAACATGTAATTATATTGCATTATTAAATATAATCAATCTTCATGGTTCATTCCTTAAGCCCAAACATAAACATACACAAAATTAACATCATTTATTTAGCAGCCAACAACACTAACATAAACATACACTAACAAAACATACACAAACATCATTTATTTAGCAGCCAAAAACCGCATATTACTTACATGTCCACCTAAACTCTAATTTCCAACATCCAAGCATCATTTATTTAGCAGCCAACAACGGCACATTACTTACATGCGCACCTAAACTCTAATTTCCGACATCCGAGTATGAGTCCACAATCACTCTACGGACCGCAATTGGAATCCTAACCGAGTGAGTCCCATGATCCTCAACCCAAGTCAAGCTCCCAAAACTATAGTCCCCTTGCACCTTTCTCGTCGCAACAAAAGAAACCTTGAAGGTTTGTATTTTCATTGACACGTTAAAATGTAAAACTGAAGGTTTCACCACCATTTTAACCCCAATTGGAGCTTGAACAACTGCTTTGTACACTGAGTCAACCTTGCCCACATTGGTAACTGTTCTTGATACTGTCTTAGCAGTTTTAAGATCATGAATGGAAATTGAGGGGAGATTTAGGTCATATAGATTACTCATTGTTTTATTACAATCAATACCCGCACATTGGAAGAATTTGAAGAAATCCTTTGGGTTAATGTCATAGACTAGACCAGGATCTGCAGCTGCGTTGGGGTTGACATGGCCGCCACCAAAGTCAAATGGGTCAGCGAGCTTCCTTGGCGAAGACTCTGCTGCTATCGGCTCCCCATATGCATCGCCGGTGGACGCTTCAAAATAACATACAAGATAGATTTCTTTTAGGATCCTTTTTAACTGGTTTAGCGAAACAAAACTAATTTAGGTCTTGTCTCTAGTTTGGCAAGAAATGGACCAGTCTTTAATTTGGTTTCGTTATATCACTTTTTGGTCTTAAACCGGTTTTGTTTTGGTCCACCTCCACTGATTCAGAAGTAAACTGGTTTAGGCCAAAACTGATTTTAGGCCAGGTGCCAAACTGATCCTTTGTAAACTTGACTGTATATGCTAGCGTGAATTTCGCAAAGACCAGGATTCATAGAAAATTGTCCTAAACTATTTTATTAGATAAAGTTTATCTATTGTCGAACTTCCAGTAAAATGTGATACACAGGTGACATTTTTTCAACAAATTCGCCCTCATCCTTAACCTTAAAATATTTAATTAGGCAAAATTTTATTCATTTTAATACAATTCCTAATGCCTTCAGAGAGGGTTTTCTATTGATTTTAGAGTTTGCGGTAGTTTTCTCTAATAAAAATGGTTCACAATAGTTTCCTGCAAAGTTCTAAACAGATTGAGAATAAATTTTATCAGAAGGTCCTTATAGTATCAGATCAGGATCTTGTGAGCTATTTCAACGGGAATGTAGGAGGCACCGTGGAACTTTCAGCTATCGCCTTTATGGTTCAAAACACTTCATTCCTATATGAGATGTATTTATAAGATTTGCATTCTAACCAGTCATGTTAGTTTTGTAAAATTTACTATATCTATGAATAATTTACCTGTCGTCACAAGTGCGGATTTTATAGCTGCAGGAGACCAATCAGGGTGGAGGGACTTCAGCAACGCAGCAATTCCTGCTACATGCGGGCACGCCATAGAGGTTCCTGTATCAAAGAAATAACCACCGGGCCCTGCAGCCAGGATATTACTCCCAGGGGCAGCAATATCAGGCTGCCAAACATACCCAAAAAAAAAAAATTCTATAAGTTTTCTGATTTAACAGTAACTAGCTAATGTTTTAGATATTGATACCTTGATCAATCCTGGGAATGCTGCGCTTGGTCCTCTTGAAGAAAAAGCAGCAAGCTTAGGTGCAAGAATGCTGTCTCCTGCAATAGTTTGTGTTGGTGATATCTTTACCTTTGGGGTTCTGCTAGACAAACATCCATAATACTTCAGTTGCAACAAATAAATGGCCAAAGAGAAAGGAAAAGGCGGAGAGATTAAGTGTTACCTTGTACTGCCTATATATGTATAAATTTTTCGTTGAGCTTCAAAGTCTATAAGCACGCATGGGATCGATAGGCAGTTCGCCGTAGCACCAACAATATCAACATTGTAATGTGCAACAATCAGACCCTTAGCCCCAATTTGTAGCATGTTAGCTATTGCATTTTGTACATATACAAAGGGCAGGCTTTCGGCTAAGTTGTCAGGATAACAAAGCACAATCTTCTCGGCAATATTTTCAGTACGGTTCGCAAGACCAAGATCGCAACTACCATACATAAAGAAGAAACATATAATGAAAAGCTCAAGTAAAACCACTTATATCTCCGACTTATTAATTTATTAAAAATGACATCGTCTGAACCTAAAACATTGTTTTTCACAGTAGGTTAAGATGTCACGTGCAAACAAATTTTATCATAGGTTAACTTTATGCTCTTCACTAAGGGCAAAAAAAGTATTTTACTGTCACAATTCTCACATCCCAATGTAACTGGAACATAATCTTGTTTAGGTTTACTATTTTTAACCTGTCTAGAAAGATTTATCCTTTTGTAATTCTTGTATCTGGAAAATCAAGACAGACTACCTCTAATACAGATTGACTCATTTTATTTCATGTCTTAATTTTTGTGATTTAACATTTTACAAAAGAATTACTTCTCTGTAACCCTTCGCTGAATTGATTCCCAAACAGCATATTGGGAAATATGTGGCTAAAGTCGGTGACAATTTCAATTATAGTACCTGGTGTCAAGAATTATTTCGAAGAAAGTGTCGGCACCCTTGATACTAGTATACATGGACTGAGCCTACAAGAAACAAAACAAGTGAAGTTAGCTTCAACTAATTCCAAGCTCTATGAACCATTAAGAATAAACTCACATACCACAAATTGTTGATTATTTCCAAGAGTAATCATAGTCGGAAAAGATCGATCCAAAGTGCTTGCCGCCACTGTAATAACCCACGGAGCATCACTCTCCATCGTCTGTGGTCCAGGACCGCTGTTCCCTCCAGCAAATACAACCGTAATCCCCTTCTCAACAGCGTGCAGCGTTGCGTAGGGGTAATCCAACAAATCCCAACCAAGCGATAGCGACAGCACATCAACACCATCATGAATCGCATCATCGATCGCCTTCACTCCAGCGGCGAGTGGAGTGAATCCTCGCTCACCCCACCCCACCTTATAGATAGCCAGACGAGCACGAGGAGCTCCTCCTCTCGCGGTCCCCGCTCCAAGGCTGTTGAAGCTGGCATTGGGAACTATGTTGCCTGCAGCGGTGGAGGCCGTGTGCGTCCCATGGGTATTCGTGTCTCGAGGGGACAGGAAATCGTTTTGGAGGTCCTCGTCAGGTGTGCCAGCGGTATAGTATCGAGCTCCAATTATTTTCTTGTTGCAGTTTTGGAGGGTGAAGTTTTGGCCGACTTGACATTTGCCTCGCCATCGGGAGGGGATCGGGCTGTAGCCTGCATCATCGAAGCTTTTTGATTCTGGCCATACACCTGTAGTTTGAAAATTTTGACGATTATCAATGAATTAGGCATTTTCACTTGTCTCAGTCCAATTTTATCAAAAATATTATGGAGGATAATCTCACTGTGTTGCATGCATCATCCACAACTCATTTAAATTCAGAGATAGAGGTGCCAAGCAGGTTACAAACTGTCGGCTCAACTTAACTAACATGATAATAAGTCTAATAAAATATAGATTGAAATCGGATCAATCCATCTAATCACATACACAATGGGTTAGGTAATGGTATGTCGGATTTGGATCCGCTCCACTATCATGAAGTAGCAGAGAGGACACTGGTTTTAATACAAATCGTTGATTATTTAATGAATGATGAAGGAGAATTATAATCCATTTCGAAAGTAACACTAAACATACCACCATGAACTGCACTCATTTCTATTTTACACTCAATAAGAAAAATCACAACCTTCTATTAATCAATCAATATAACTAAAGTAGTGGACTCTCAATGACTTCTTAGTAATGGAGAGAATCCGAATCCATCGTTATCTATTTGACCCTCTCAACTTAACTACTAATCAAGTCAAGTACTAATCATTTGTAATTAGTGTTTATCAAAAGTTTACTAGTCAGGTGCTAGGCATACAAAATTTTCTCTATATAACTCATAAAAACCAACACTCACCATAACTTTGGTAGCAGCAAAGTAACCCAAGTTCAATTACTACTGGCCACGAATTTCTAAAGCGGATATGAAAAAGATACCTCTCAATGAATTCAGTTTTCAGCCTATGAAAGAGCCCTCAACTTGCGGGGGCATGTTAGAGTAAAAAATCATAACTCCTTACCTTCACAAACTTGAAGTTTAGTGTAGTGGCAAAGTCCTTTTAACATTTTCGAAATCACAAAATTATAAAATTTTAAAACATGTACCCGACTCAATGGCAAATTAGATGGGGTTAACAGGTCGAATACACCCAGTAGGGATGTAGGTACTATGAAACACGGACACGCATAACATAAAGCCGTGTCGTGTCCGTGTCGGACACATGTGTCGAACACACGTATCCTATGTATTTTTTAGGATTTGCCTCGTGTCGGCGTGTCGGACGGCCGTGTCAGATCCGTGTCCGTGCTACATAGTGTAGGTATAGATAAGGGTGTCTGAACTGTTTATTAAATAGACCAGGCATGGATTTTGATGTAGCCAACTCGGCGTCAAGCTCTTTTCAGGTCAGAGAGGATGATCTAACCCTAAAGATGGCTCTAGCCTTTTATGGACTAGCTTGACCCTATAAGGATCAAACTCGGTAGAACTTTAAACAGCTCGGAATCACACAAAAGGATCAGTCATGTCGAAGCTCTTGCAAATTCGTCAGGGTCAACCGCGAAATTCCATCTTTTTTGGTATCAAAATCGTGTTAAAAGATTTTCTTTTTATTTTAAGCAGGTTTTGACTGTCTAATTCAAAGGAACAAACAAGTTTCGGTTTTGCTTAGATTGGATATGGCAGATCCTATTTCCCAGTAGAAGGATATTTTCAAGTTTTGGCATTTTTCTATTTTTGGTAAAAAATATTATTTTTTCTTTTACCTTTTATTTTCTAGTCTATAAAAAAGACCTTTTCTGGATGTAGAAAAGCAGTTTTGGAGAATAAGAAACCCAGTTGTTGGCTGTGGCTGTTATATTTGTGTTCTCTTTTTTGTTTTTTTGTGTCTCTTAGATTCGATCTAGTTGCAGCCCTAACTGGACTACATCAAATTTTTGGCTTATACAAAACGGAAAATTTTGGATTCGACATGCACCAAACTAACCAACCCAGTTGTCCTCTCAGCTTACAAGACTTTCAGTAATCAGTTTTGACTCTAAACCTTGTAGCAATATATAATCATATTATGTATTACTCTTAATGAGATCAAGATAATATCATGCAACAACTTCCTACTCAAATGACTCTTGCGCTTCTTTTTATTGTGCTTCTTCATTAGCAAAATGGGCTGAGATTATTCTTTCCTTCAATTAAAACATACATAAGAGAAAGCACATGTTGGCAGATGCAGTACATTTATTAAATTGTTCGTATCAGTACCAAACTTTAGCAAGTTAAATGGAATAATGAGTAGTATCTGTTATTGTCAAAGTTTGAGATACAGTATCGAAATTTATGTAGCTAATTGAAATTGGACTGACCTGAATCAACAATGCCGATGATAATACCCTCTCCATGATTCGCTTTGTGCAGTAAGTTTTCAGGCAGTTTGGGGTTGTGGTCGAGCCCAAGTCCCATGAAGTCCCAGCTTCGGGTTGTATGCAAATGGAGGTTGCGATTAGGCACAATGCTGACAACTTCAGGGAGCTCTGGAAATTGAACAATAAAAAAATTCACATTTAAGACTCAGAAAAATCCCAGTTGGTCATACAGTTATCGGGCATCTTGCCCTGGTTACTCAAAAGATTATGAAATTTTTTGAACCTGCAATTCGTTTTGCTTGAGATTCTGCGAGAGTTGCTGCAAAGCCAGAGAATCCATGCCTGTAGCTGTAGGCAATGGACCTAAGAGCATCCTCCTTCCTGAAAAAAGTGTTGTGCAAATTAAAATAAAAATAAAAGAACGAATTTAGATGAATGCTAAACCAAGATTTCTGGAATGGCTATTAAATCGTACATATTGAACAACTTGTTAATTTAAATCTGACATTTTACATGATCGTTGATATCATGTGTAAATACAGTCCCAGATTCGTAGAACCAAAAAAGAGTGAAGTAAAAAGTTGAGAACATTATCAAATCAAATAGTTGAGAACCAAAAAAGAGTAATTGGCTCCATACTTGACTCTTAAGTACCGCAATAAGTTGATTATATTGCATTTTTCTGTTATATTCCATCTTAATTACTACGATTTGCGTGCGTAATAAGGTCAAATTTGATTTTTTATATACAATTATGGATATATGTTAAATTATTCAAATAGATGTCCAGTATCAAACTACGCACCCAAAAATACAAGAACGTGTACGGATGAGATGACTACAAATTAAGTACATTTAATAACATTAAGCAATGAAAGCATTATATTCCAACAATATCCATTAGAACTATGCTTAGCCCATTTTTTCAAAAATTCAAGGAACAATGAATAGATTATCCTGTTAGCGTCCGGATTCGTTCCTAGTTCGCGTTCACTGTTATCAACTACGGATATTGAGCTTATTTCGTTGACATCTCGAGTCACTAACTTTGTTTAAAGAATCTAGGATTAGGGCTACGGGAACTTGCCTGGATTTGGGTGGCGATGAGATTAGAGGAGATTAAACGAAGGGGGAGGAGATCGACCGGGGACGGGTATCTCAGTCGTCGTCTTCGGCGGCGGCGGCGGCGGTGGCGGCGGCGACACATAATTCGAGAGTTTGAGAGAACGAGATCGAGAGAAGGGGGCTGGTATTTTTCCGGACGAAGAGATCGACAGGTTTAGCGTGAGAGTTAATTATCATTTTGTAATTTAACTATATTGAAAAAGTTCTAAAATTTTCCAAAATCGTATTTCTTTTAGGCCAAATTGCTCTAAAATACCTTAAGTTTCACTTATTTAGCACTTATCTGCCATCAGTTGTTTTTCAGACATGCAAACATAAGATTTTCACATGGAAGTTCACTTATAGGATTGACATATTAATTTTATAGCTTTTTAGTCATTATTATTTGTTAAATTAACTATTAATCCTACCAAATTATAATTTAAACATATACTGATTTTAGTTGAAAAATAGAATTTGAATAGATTTAACAGTAATTTTAGCAAATTTAATAATTAAAAAGTTATAAATTTAGCATATAATTGTTATAGAAGAGCTTCCGGATGAAAATATTCATGTTTGCACAATAAATGATACTAAAGTACTATTTTTAAACAACTCAAGGTATGTAAACGCTTCAAAAACCAATTGAGAGTATATATATATAAGTGTTAAATTAGTGAAGCATAAGGTATTTTATTGCAATTTAACATTTTTAACTTACTTTAATTGTTTGATTTTTTTCAGTATTAATAATCCACTAAGTGTGTAGGTAACCATTTTTTCATCGTCGTTGAAGAAAAATTGGCAGATAAAATACATGTGAGCTTATAGGACAAAATTTGATGGATATTAGAATGCTAATGTGGATGTGTTTAAATAACATGACAGTATTTACATGGCGTGGTACAGATCAAAGGGAGAGAGGGCGGGAATTAAACTAATCATTAAATTGTCAAATCCCCTCATTTTTAAATCATAGAAGAAGAAAAACAAAATGAGAGAGGTAAATTGCACTTCTTTTAACTTGACTTTATCGATTTGATTTTTTTTTGGTATTAAACATCCACTTAGTGTGTAAGTAACCGTTTTTTCATTGTCGTTGAGGAAAAATTGGCGGATAAAATACATTTTGACCTCACACAGCAAAATTTGATGGATATTAGAATACTAAAGTGGATGTGTTTAAATAACATAATAGGATTTACATGACGTGATACTAATCAAATGGAGAGAGGGCATGAGCAAAACTAACCATTAAATTGTCAAATTCCCTTATTTTTTTAACTCGCAAAGAAGAAAAAGAAAAGGAGAGAGGGACTTTTCATATCAAATTCCCCAATTTTTTTGGGTGAGACTTTCACTTGTAGCGAAAACTAATACCAAATTGTCCATTTGTAGATTTTTAATACTGAAAGGTCGTCGAAGCACAAAAAAAGAAACTGGTAAAGAGTTGTTACTGATAAATTATCATTTTGTAATTTAACTATATTGAAAAAGTTCTTTAAGATTAAAAATCGAAATCCATTTTGGTTTAGAATTTTCTTGGAAAACAAAATTAGAGGAATTGAGTTTATTTTTTTTTCAAGTTTGGCATGAAATGAAAAGCATGAGAAAACATAAATTTAAGAAAAACTTTATTCAAACATTCTTGTTTATATTTTATTGGCAACTATTCAACTCATAAAATTCTCACCCACTTTATGAATATTTTAATATTAAAAATCACTTTTTCCAAGCTTGGAAATGGATTTCCAAACTTTATGAAAAAATATAGGTTCTTTGGGAAAAGTCATTTTTCTAATTTTTGCTCATCCAAATAATGAAAATAGAAAACATGTTGGGAAATCATTTTCTTAGGTGGGGAATGGTCGAACAGAACCCTTTTCTCAATTTTTTTATACCAATCAAACAATGCCTATTTAGGAAACTTGGATGAATTCGTTCTGCAACATAAATCTTATAAACAATTGTTGATTTGTAAAACTGGACGGTTGTGATTTATTCTAAATATAACACTCATTATATTCTCTATAAATTGCACTCATTTTCTATTTTGTACTTAAAGATAAATCACAACAATTAACTACACAAATCAATGATTGTGATGAGCGTAGTGTTCTCTCCATTATTTGTTGTAGGGGAAATGATTCGACTCCCTAATTATGATAAAGTCAATAACAAAATGAATTAAATATTTGATAGATATCACAAAAATAGTACGAACCTATGTCCCAATCCAATGTTTTTGGCAAACCTATAGGGTCAAACAACCATGCGATCAATCCCTAATCTTGGGATGACTAACCCGAATCTTAATCTGAGGGTAAAGTAAATTGTGCCTTCATATCATTTGGGAACAAATTTCTTTAATGTATTAAAGATATGCGATTTACGTGAAAGCATTACCTCCCAAGTACAGAAGTGAGTATATCATGGTGTGATGCCGTGACGACGTCTGGATCTTCGTGTTGTTTCTCTCCCAAATAAACAAGGTACAACTGAAGCTTGTTACAAGTTCAACAACAATGGTCAATTAAAATTCACTATAAAATGAAAAACATTTGACGAATTAACTATTTTACACATATAAAAAAATGGTGAATTACAAAAAAAAACGTCTATACGTAGTTATAAGACACCCCTTTGGCCCTTTATACAAAAAGTTGAACAAAACTGCCTCATCCGCCAATTATTAATTAAATTTTGAGTTTTTTTAATGGAATTTGGTTTTTTAAATATATGAACATGCGTACGTATGCATGAATAATTCTAGGTTATTGGTAATAAAATTTAGATTTTCATTCTATCCAAGAGCGAGCTTTTTTGTTTCCTTCTTTTCAACTACCAAAATTTGTATATTTGAAATGAAGAGGTTTATCACTTTATCTAGACATTTATATGAGTGCAACTGTGCAAACGTCTAATCAGATGTATGTATGAACAACGAAAACACGCTGTAAAATTAACAGTTTTATAACAGGGCATAGATGAGGAAGTTTTTTGCCAAACTTTTTAGATGAACACACTACCTTGCTTTGTTCTCCATGTGCAGATGAGACAATTTGAAAGCATTGTGGAGTAACGAACAGAACAATTAGGAGCATAGAAAGAGATGGTGGTTGAGCTTGAGATCTCATTTTTCTTGGAAATAATTCTGTCTCCTCCCCTCTTTTCCCCATCTATCTCAAGCTTGGTGCTTAACTTTGCTCTGAGTTTGGAGTAGGGGGGGTCTTATATATGCAAGTGTGGTAAGGATTAACCAAGCGATTATCCCTAATGATGTCCTCAAACCAGGGGTTAATAATGGTGTTGATTGATGCTTGGTGTTTCCATTTGACGGAATATTGCAATCTGCCAGATGATCACTTGCTTTTTGAGGTCCTCCGTCAATTATTACTAGGCATTACCACAACACATCACATCGCCCACATAACATTTTCCGTATTTTGCTTTTCCCCACTAACGGTTTCTCTTTTTCTCTTTTGGCCATTTCACGATTTCTCTAGTTAGAGTATAGGAAAATGATTTAAGGACCCAAAATATGGGACCAAGGGAGGGGACAGGTGAGGTGTCCCCTCCCTATTGCATAATGAGTTGGCATGGCCAACTCATTATGCAATAGGGAGGGGACACCTCACCTGTCCCCTCCCTTGGTCCCATATTTTGGGTCCCTGTAGCAGCACTCTAGAGTATATTCAGGTATTTTTTGTTTAATAATTATTCAATGCTTAGATTAGTATCTTAGCTTTTACTCGGTCTTGAGATTGTGTACAAGTTTTTGTTAAGCACCCTAATGACACTAGGAAAGAACCCTAGAGGATGTGAATAGGGTTTATGCTAATCTAATCCGATATATGCCAATTAAAAACTTATTAACAAATATTCTTGCAAGATAGATATACAATGTGTTGTGAGCAAGAATGAACAATATAAATAAAGAGCAATATCCTAGCTATGAGATATATAGTGAAATATATGCAAGAATTTATAAACTAACACAATGATGAAATAAACAAATTACAAATGTGATAGGGCAATATACACAAAGAGTAATAGACAATGACGATATAAGATAAACACAAAAGTAAATGCGTCAATGACAAACTCAAACACAAACAAGTGATCACGGAGTTCGGACCTTCCGTTCTACGTCTCCGCTCCCCACTCTTGAGGAGAACTCCATTATCACAACCGGGTTTTCTATACGCTCACCCGAATAACGTTTACACCACACAATATCGGTTTTCAACGCTCACCGATCAACGTTCACAATCTCACAATGTAACTACACAAACTACCACCTCAAGCGTTGGCCTCTCACGTGTCTCCCTCAAGTGTTAGGAATTACAACCTACATCTAAGCATTACCACTTATCCCACTCCTCTTGGGACCGACCACGTCTCTCACCTCTACACTCCTCTTGGTGTACTTGTGCAATACAAAGTGAATCCTCATAATTAAGCTCTCAATACAAATAAATTGTTCTCTACAATGAATGAGAACACAATGTAGGCTCACTCTCTAAGTCACACTCTCCACAACGCAAATTATACTATGTATGAAATACAATAAGCTCAATGGTTGTGTGTGTAAACAAAGAGTGCCGATAAAACAATTAAACTCAATAATGAAATCTAACTTATGGAAATTAGAATCAAAACAATAAATAGATAGAATTAAGTTTAAGGAAACTTTTCTATAGATAAAAAGAGAGAGGGAGAAGAGTGAATGCTCAAACACCAAATGATGATCTCCTCAAGCTCTTGTGAAAGTTTCTTCACAAACAAACTCTTGAAACAAACTTAAACAAAACTTAAACACCATTTAAAACTTATTTTTAAAATTCCCCTAGGTAAATAGAACTGAGGATATGTGGGGGTATTTATAGGAACCCTAAAGCCAAGAGAAAACAAGGCAAAAAGATCAAAAAACCAAAATAGTATAAAGCTGGAAAAAACTAGTCGTTACAGCATTAGTCGACTGACGAGTTTCATCAGTCGACTGATGAGCTGACCGTTGTAGGCATTTTCCAGCTCATCAGTCGACTGATGACATTATCAGTCGACTGATGATCTCAACATAAAAAAAACTTTTGGCTATTCCAGGTGTTTTCTTTAGTCGATTGAACACATGTATCAGTCGACTGATAATGTGTTATCAGCCTGAAGTGAATAGAAAAATTGGTTTTTGAAGTGCCTTTAAAAATAGCAAATAAATTTCAAAAAGTGTAAAACTTTGAGAAATGTTTATAAACATGTTAATGAACATGTTACAAAAAGAATTTTTGGAATTACACTTCACATTTGTAAAAACTCATCATTTTTTAAAATAGTCTAAAACATGAAAATGAACATTCTTGAAATTTGATGTTTTGATTAAACCATGTTTTGAAACTTTATAAAATGATTTTATAGACTTAATAAAAGATATATACAGTGATTGTTAAGTCCATAAACAAGAATACATTATTTTTACAAAATGTATATATTATACAAAACATATTTGTTTTTCTAAAAAGTGTAAAAATAGCAAATAAATTCCAAAAAGTGTAAATTTTGTTATTTGTTGTTGTTGTTGTTGTTTTTTCGGCTAATGATTAGTTGTTAAAAGGGCGGGCTGTCTGATGGTGCATGTTAGCGGGAGATCTGATTTCTACTAACGTGCACCCTCCATTGGTTTTCTATGGCGAAGAAGAAGAAGAAGAATGGGAGGAAAATCCTAAGAATTGGATTAAGGTCCTCAATCTCCTCGTTTTCCCTTGATGATCATTTTGATGATAATTATGAGGAGGAGGATGATGATCTTAGTCCTATTGTAATGGGCTCAACTGGACCAAAAGGCGAAAAGATGAAGAAATCAATGAATGAAATTCTCCGATCTACAGGATTCTTGAAAGAATCGCCTCTCTCCTCTCTTCAGTTGAAGGAGGGGTTTCAAGATCGCCATCTCTGTAAAAGTAATGGAGCTAGCTCCTCGAGGGTTTCATGGGCTAATGAGGTCGAAATGGGGGTGATATCGGATCTTCCTTTGTCTCAAATTCTTTCTTCTAAATCTGTTAATGCTCTTGAATTAGATCATAGATCTATAAATTTGATTTTAGATACGGATACTGTTCCATTGACTGATATGAAAGAATCTGTTGAATTTAGTTCTGAAAATCTTCAAAAAGTTAATGAGCATGTAATTTGTCAATCTGAATTGGGATTCAATAATTCAAAGAGTTCGAATCTGGAAGCAAAGGAGATTGAAGCTGGAAAAGTTCAAGAAACAGAGGATAAAGGGCTTGATTTAGCCAAAACTTTTGTTAGCCTCTTTGCTGACAATAGAAAATCTGGCAATGGTTTATCCCTTAATTTTGTTCCACCTTCTAATTCTAATACAGTCTCCTTTCTACTGAGGAGTGGAAGGAAGGTGAAAAACTTTGGAGGAATGCTCTAATTAGGCATGTCATAGGATTGAATGTCAAATATAAATCTATGGAATCCTATGTAACTAAGCTTTGGGGCAATATCTCTATTCCTACGGTCTCTTTGATTAAGCAAGGTCTATTTCTGTTTGATTTTCAATCTGAAAATCACAAGAGGGATGTTCTTGAAGCGGGGCCTTGGTTTTTTTTTTGTTCTAGACGCCTAATGTTAATGTCGTGGAGTATAGATACTAATATGGAAAAATTGAAGGCTTTCTATTATCCAATGTGGGTACAATTGCCTAATCTGAGATTAAACCTATGGAGCTCAACTGGTATTAGTAAAGTTGCTATTTAATTGGTAAACCTATCACAACAGATAAACTTACAGCAACTAGACAAAGATTGTCTTATGCAAGTATTAATTGAAGTGAAACTGCCATTGCAAAAACCATTGCCTGATTTTTTGAATATTCAAGGTCCAGATGGAAGGAATTATAAACAGTCAGTGCACTATGAATTTAAACCAAAATGGTGCTCCTTATGTACTATAGTTGGTCATGATACTGAACATTGTAGGAGGAAGAAGAGTACTAAGGTATGGGTTCCTATCAATCGACAATCTGGTAATGTACCAGTGCAAGCACACAACAGGAGCATGGCTAATCCTACCAGGCAAGAGATATCTGAACAAGAGGTTTCTGGCTCTACAGGGAAAAATGATTAGGGTTTTGAACCTTGTCCTCTTTTAGCACAAAAACATGTTCATGCTCCAGAAATTGTGAAGGATTTTCCAGGGTCTAGTCTAGCTAATGGTCTGGATACTCAAAAGCATGCACAAAAACATGCACAACAAGACTCAAGTGAGCAAGGAAGGGGTTCTACTGATATGCTGATAAATGCTAGATATCAGTTAAACAAATTCTCATCCCCAGTTATACATACTTCTAGATTTTCTAATGTCAATAAAGGCAGATTAGCTAGGAGAATGGATGCTCTTGTTTCTGGTGATTTTACTCCTCAAATATCTCATTTTTCACTCCTGAAGCATCTAAATGATCCATCTAGTGTGGATAGAGGAGGAATATTTCAATTATGCACCTAGCCATCTGGAACATTAGAGGATTTCATAAATCCTATAAACATAAGATAGTGAAGCAATTCATTCAAGAGTACAATTTATCATTTCTTGCTCTTCTGGAAACAAAACTGGCTGAAAGTAAACTACAGATTCTATCAAGGAAAATAACAAAAAACTGGCAATGGGTTTCCAATGTACAAGGTGCTGCAAAATGTAGAATATGGATTTTATGGGATAATGTTATTTTCAATGCTCATATCATCAAATATTCAAAGCAATACCTGACATGCTATATTGAGTCTAGAGATGGCAAAATTTCCTACCTTTGCACTATAGTCTATGCTATGAATCAGCAGATTAACAGGAGAGCTCTATGGCATGATCTTCTGGAATTTAAATGCAATGTTACATGTCCCTGGCTTATTGGAGGAGATTTTAACTCAATTATTAGCAGTGAGGAGAAGATAGGGGGTCTGCCTGTAACTGAAGCTGAAACTAAAGATTTTCAGGACTTTATTACCTCTTGTCAATTGATGCATATAAGATCAACAGGATGTTACTTTACCTGGAGTAATAAACAAGATGTGGACACAAGAATATGGTCTAGACTGGACAGTTACTTGATTAATGAAGAATGGATTTAGCAATACACATCAAGTCAGGTAGATTATCTTATGCCAAGTTGTTCAGATCACTCTCCTGCTCTTCTAACTATAGGGGATGATGTTATGGG